TGCTTCAGATCTTGGCAGGAAATCCTCCCCCGACTGTGTCTTTTCATGTAAAAAAGTAAAAAAATAAATAAATAAAAATGCACATATATATTGGTCTATGTTTAGGTGTTATATAACGGCGAGAAGCATTGCCCAGCACTAATCAAACACATAATGTTTCTTTGGTAAATTTAGCAGTTTGTCTGGCATTTCACTATTGCCGATCCCCTTGAACTTGACCGGCCTTCTTAACACACAAACCTTAATTATTTACAATATATTTATTCTTCTGTGAAAATGCTCTGCTTGACTTATAAATGTCAACAATGTGCTTTTGTGAATTTGACGGTTTTTCTCGGCTATTCAAAGAAGGTCTATAATCACCTGATGTTTCCTGATGTTTATGATTGCACTGATATTCTGAACTGTATATCATACACTGCCATATACACACAAACATTTTTATATCGGTGTGTGAGTGATATACTGTACAATACTGCACTCATTGGCAGATCTTAGCAATATGGGCGCTTGCCTGGGGTGGCACCTCTAGGGACCAGTCTAGATCCCCCCCACACACACACACACATCACCCATCCCCCTCTGCCCCAGCTGGCATCCTATACCATCATATCCCCTCCCCCATCCCCAGCATGGATGTATTCCTGGATTCACTGAATATTCACTGTCTGGTGAGTCAGTTCACTTTGTTTTCTCTTATTACGGGCCAAAGGTCACCCCTTACTACTTGGCCAGTATCATTAACATGTCAGGTAAACACAGCGACTAACTCATAATATTTCAAAGACTTACTCAAAGGCTCAAAAGTAGCAGGAATAATTTCCCGGTGGAGTTCACATTTACTTTTTATGCAATCGACATCCAAGCGAGGGAATCTGGGGGTTAGGGAACAGGTTCAGCCAGCGTCTCTAAAGCTGCTGCGATTAAGGGTCTTTCTTAGGGACCCAAGGATGATTCAACCGCACAAATTTCTGGACAAGGGTGCATATCCCCGTGTTACACACCTGCCCCAGTTACATTAGTGTTACTTTATGTGTTCCTGTCTCTTGTATGTTTCGGAGAATTGCTATAGCACTTTGGACGGAAGGAGAAAAAAAAAAATCTCATTTTCATATACTAAAGGTCTGTTAAAGTGTAAAGATATTTGTTAGTTGTTTCTTAATAAAATAAAATAAAAACTTAAATAAATACAGGCAAGGATATTCATTCATTCATTTATTCAAACTTTTATTCAAACTCAGGGTTCAGATAAAGGAAAAGACATGACAGAATAAAATAGATTTAAAAAGAAATATATGCATATACATAAATCAGCTAAAGTTTAATTTTAACAAAATATAGTTTAGTAGCCAACAAGGAGACAACTACCAATGTCTCCACAGCTGAGATTGATAACGAGTGGAACTGAACCTTATGTTCATTAATATTTCGTAACACAGTATGGAAAGCATACAGTCTTGCAGTCACAAACACCTCACTTGCATTAAATCATCTAAGCCGCTTAAGAATTCTCATGGCAGCATTATATGCGACTTGAAGTCTCTGCATGCTTGCTGTTTTATAATTTGCCCGCAAATGCCTGGTATAGATTGGTGTACAATATACTCTGAATAGACGCACCTTCCCTCCATCTGTTTATGCACTAAACTTGTGTAGGAGAATATTAGCTTGAGCATACATCATGTGGCATTGCCTATAAATGTCTTCATCATCTGTCCTGTCATAAAATATCCAAGGTATTTTACCTTATTACAGATGCCAAGATTATTATTAGGTAATACAGGTTTATTGTTAGGTAAATCAGGAAATTTGAGACGTACGTTCTCTTTGGTTCTACGGTTCATGATGACACTCTTGCTGCCATTATATTTGATGTCGGTTCCACACCACAAGCAGAACATGTAGTGAGGAGTTACAGGAGATCAGCGCTACTTGGGGTAAAGACCACAAGGTCATTTGCACAGATAACATGGTTCAATAATGTATTGCCACTCATGCACTCATTATTAGAGGCTTTCAATTACTTGGACAAATCATCAATATAAAGAACTGGTGACAAACTGCCCCCTTGTCTGACCCCATTGCTGAGCCCCAATAGAGGGTGGGGCACTATTGCCCATTTTACTTATATAGTCTGGTGTGCATACAACTAAGCCAGAGTTCACACTATGTACTTAGGCACCCCTCTTTGACTCAACTTAAACGTTTTTCTATGATTTACACGATGAACACTTTAGAAGCATTAATAAAACATATAAGAACTGATGAGTTTTTTACCTCTATATCTACAATTTCCTTCAAGGCATATATGCACTAATCAGTACCATTTGTTTAGCTTTAAAACTAAACTGGTTATCTATGGAATCAATAAACTCATTTGATCTATCCAGCAGAATTCCTTCTAGGACTTTTAACAATATGCTGACTCAAGCTATGGGCTTGTAATTACCTCAGCTGCCTACTTTACTAACTTAGCCCTTAATGAAAAGAAACACTTATTTATAATTTTATGGCAAAAAACTAATACACAACAATAAAAACGCATACCTTTTTAAAATGAACTTAGATCTTTAATTTCATTCATATAAAATAAAACTATGGAATCATTATATGGAATCATCATGGAGTCAATGTCTAAGAACTACTAATTAGAATAAAACATAAGAAAAAAAGAATACCAACAATCATAAAAGGAACATTCCACTTTTGTCCATTTGTCCTATAACTGACAGAGAATTTTCCATTAAGCTCCACAATTCACACACACACACACACACAATGTATATGTATATATATATATATATATATATATTTCTTAGTAATGATATTAATTACGCAGAAGTCAAAATGTTATCTTTTTTGCCATTTAAACCTATTGACCTACTATTTTACCTGAATATCACAATGTGAATTAAATTATAAAAGAGAAAGAAATATAGTCTTTATAAAAAGTTACTTAATTACTTAACGTTCATTGTTCCACTTTCATGTTTCTGCAGAAAAAAATGAATATGTGCACATGTTTCTATGGAAACAAGCAGTATTGTTTCCATGGAAACAACATAGAAAACAGATATAACATAGCCTCTGATTCAGCTCCTTATACAAAGTGTATTCTTCACTAATCTTTGTAAAATTGGTGACTTAATACAATTTAAGAAACCTTTTAAAAAATTAAGGTAGTCTGAAAAATATCACACAAAGAATTAAGCATCATATAGAGCTGCATCCTGGATATCAGAGGGAACTTGTTTTCCTGTTTTTAGTTCAGTTAAGTTTCTTAATATGGACCAAATTTGTTGTTTTGAACTTAAGATACAGTTTTATGCAGTTTTGTCACCTGACTTATTTCTTCCTGTGATTATTTGTAAACTTCCTTTTTGTGCATGACCATAATTTATTTTGAAAAGCATCTTAACCTTGCTCAGTGTCAAACCCATTTTCTCAATTCTTAGTAGACCATGACGCTGATTTTATTTTATTGCAATTCCTAAACCTGACTGAATTACTAGAATAATTTTGGAGATTTTTGTTTCTCCTGAAACAGACGTGAATCGGATATTTCCTGAATAAGTAATAAAAAGCTGTCACCAGTTAACTTAATATAACAAATTACATAAATACCATTAAAATAGTAAAAGGACTGAGACTGAATAACAAAGCGAGGAAAAAAGACAGCTTTTCAGTGATCCATAAAATGAAAGAATGTCATAAAGTCTGCATGCCCCTAAAGTCAACATCATACATGTATTTAAATCATCCTTTAATCTTGAACATACCTGTATCCTTCAACTGTGTTCCATCCACCAATGGCAGCTGGAAATTATCACATGGTAGCGTGTGGAACATGACAGGGAACCCCCCAGCATGGGATCTCCATAGTCACACAATAAGAGCAGTTTTGAGACTTTTACACCATCAGCAGAAGCAAATGTAAAAAATAAACCACTCCATCACCCAGTTAGGGCTCCAAGCAGCAGAAGACAAATTTCAGCAATTAATTTATACTAAAAACATTTCAATAGCACAGTAGCACAGTGTATTTGATTGCTAAAAAGTAGCGAAATATTAAATATTATTAGTGTAATAACTGTAATGTCAAGGGATGTAGCCAGAAGTATTTCTTCTGATCCTTCTCATCCCTTCCTCATCCCCTAATCATTTCACACCCTCAGACAGGCCGGCGCAGACCAATTAACAGCGTATGTCACTTTAGAGAGTAGCTTTTGCATAAAGCACAACTAGTTCATATTTAATACATGTCACCTGTGCTGTTTGAATATTTATAGCTTATTACAGAAATGTTACCAGTTGCAACAACTCAGTTAGGAATTCTTATGAACACACACGCGCATACACACGCACGCACACACACACACACACAAACACACGCACACATGTACACACACACATAAACTCATCAGTTGTTCTATAACAGCCATGCAACACAGCCATTTGACTGACATTAACTTCTAGGTGTCTGATACTTGAATATTAAAATAATATAAAAATATTTTTCTCTGCATGGAATCACACATGCTTACACATGGGGAGACAAACCATATCCTTCACACAAATCCAAATGGTCTCATAATGATTCAACTGTATTATATGTGTTTGTATAAAACTTGTAAATCACTATGAATTAATTTTCCCATAGCTTTCATTTGAATTCCGTTTTACTCATATTTTCTCTTCGCAGTTCCTTGGCGGGCAATAATTGTTGTATAATGTAGCCGATGCGTTAATGTTTGTTTAATTTGTATTTTGATTTATGCGACATTAATTTGCAATGCATAAAGCCTGTCACTTGACACATGCACTTATTATTATTGTTGTTGTTATCTTGTTTTTTTATGCACATAACGTTGTGATATTGAGTTTTACACATACGTAACGTAGCTGGGTCATTACAGACATCACAAACTGCTGACGGAACTCCGGCGCTGCTTCTTGTCTATTATGCATAAAGCCGACAACAGTAACGTGGTAAGGGGTAATCTGCGAATCTCCTTGGGAAATATCATACCTACCTATAACCATGCAGTTTTGGAAAGGTGGCTGCTTGCTGGCTAAAATTATTGAATTCTTGGATATTTAATTTGAACACACCATGGACACTGTGGAAGCAATTCTCTCTTTCTTGGTAGTTGTGATAATAATCGTGTCGTTGCTGTCCAACTTGCTGGTGCTGATCTGCTTCCTGTACAGCCCGGAGATCCGGAGGCAAGTGCCGGGTTTGTTCATCCTCAACTTGACATTTTGCAACCTGTTGCTCACCATATCCAACATGCCTTTGACTTTGGTTGGAGTTATCAACAAGGGGCAGCCCGGCAGTGGGGGGCTGTGTCAGATAGTTGGTTTCTTGGACACCTTCTTAACCACAAATTCTATGTTGAGTATGGCAGCACTGAGCATCGACAGATGGATCGCTGTTGTCTTTCCCCTGAGCTACCGATCAAAAATGCGCTACAGAGATGCTGTTATAGCTCTGGGTTACACGTGGATGCACTCCATGTCTTTTTCAGCGGTACCTACTTCTCTATCGTGGGTGGAATACCACCAACTTTATGCCTCCTGCACCCTCTGCAACGGGAAAGCAAATACCAGCCAGTTTATTATATTTACGGTGGTATTTCATTCCCTTACTTTCCTCCTGTCTTTGGTAGTGCTGTGCTTTACTTACCTTAAAGTTCTCAAAGTAGCGCGCTTCCACTGTAAACGGATTGACATTATTACAATGCAGACCCTGGTGCTTTTAGTGGACATACATCCAAGGTAAGCCTACCTTCCATTCCTATAAAATTAAATGATTCTTATTTCTATAGTCAGTATCTTCCAGTTGGTGTAGCCTATTTAGAGTGAGTCGTATTGTATATTGCATTGTCGGATAAACAGAGAATTGTACTTTGACAGTAGTCAGATGGTTTAAGTGTTATTTTGACGTGTCTCATAAACGTCAGAAGTGTTGTGTAAAAAGAGACGAATTAGGCTACAAACGATCTTTTTGGCGCAGGCTATTTTAACAAGCATGATACGATAGTAATAAATGGATTGACATTTTATTACAGTAGCGAGAAATTATTCTTTATATCTAATATGTTTTTAACGTCTTTGATGGACCTTCCGCCTTATTCATAAACGTGATGTATCTTTTTATCTGGTACCACCGGTTTTGGAACCGTTTGATAATTACTTAAGAGATTACTTGCCCTTCATGAGAAATTTTTCACAATAAAAATAATAACTGACCCATTTGACTGAAATGATTTTTTTATATTTTTATCACAAATGGTTACTATCTTTCTATATTAACCAATGATTTCAGCACATAACAAAAAACAATAACAACAAACAATAATATAAACATTATTAATATTATTATTATTATTATGTTTCCACAGTGTTCGGCAGCGTTGTCTAGAGGAGCAGAAAAGGCGAAGGCAGAGAGCCACGAGGAAAATCAGCACTTTTATTGGCACATTCGTTCTGTGCTTTGCACCATATGTGATAACAAGGTCAGTCGCAGTGTGACAAGAGTGTCTGGCTTGGCTCAGCTCTCAGCAGTACAGTTGGATCCTTGTGCAATTGCTGCTGTCATATGGCCAGTATTGTGTAATTCAGTGTAATAATGCGCAGTGCTTCACCTATAGAGAGATTTTGGGGCTTTCAGTGGAGCTCCCACTACAATATAGCTAGATTTGATCAATGTCTGTTAGGATACTGATGAAGTATGATACAGTGGGTGTGTGTGTGTGTGTGTGTGTGTGTGTGGTCCAAGTATACACTCAATATTTCATGGTATACTGCATTAGTATAGTTCTATAAGTATTTTTGCATATAATTACAATCATGCATTGAGACTGACTATAACTATAAATTGTGACTTTGGTTCAGTCAAGACTTCATTTAAATAGAAAGGATTTAGAGTAAGCTGCTGTAAATTAGCAAACATTAATGCTAACTGGATAGAGCGTTCCCACTCTACTGAACACTCCACTCATATTCCTGGGGTGACATGAACATAACTCTCTATGCTCAGCCAAGGCGGTGCATAGGCTATTTGAGGAGGGGGGCACAGAGGTTAAAAAAGGAGCACCCAGGACGTTCAATAGTTTGAGCAAAACAGGCAGGTGCTCAGGTAACCCCCCCCCCCCCAGCTTCTCCTTGACGACATCACAAAAAGCCATTGTGTGACATAAATATCTTCATTTTAGGCAGTTAATAGAGATTTATATTGGTCAAGTTACAAGGTTTGATTTTTTTTTTGTGTGGTGGGTGGTGTTTTACAGGTGAGTTCCCCTTTTGCCTGAACGTTTGAAGGTGCCTCCCTTCTAGGTCCTGAGTGTTGCATTTCATTTACTGAAATTAACTGAGAAGGATCCCCTTCCCCCGATTGGCCAATTTTACCTGGACCTCCCTCCAAGTGGAGGAACTTGGAAATGTCTCTGCAGCCATGGAATGCTAGAATTTGTCTCTTGTGCTAACAGCGCCTCTCTCTCTCTGTTCCCATGTCAGAATGGTGGAACTATTCCTGGTGCCCCCCATCGACCGCCACTGGGGAATCGCTTCCAAGTGCCTGGTTTACAGCAAGGCGGCCTGTGACCCCTTTGTTTACTCACTGCTGCGGCGTCAGTACAGGAAGACGTGCACTGACATCATTAACCGGATCCGGAAAGGACGCTCTCTCGACACATACGGAAACTGGGATGAGAATCGGAGGACCTGTGTAGTCCCGACTGCGGAGTGAAGGTCTCAGGAGGGCACGGAGGAAAGTCTGTGAAGGACACTTAGCTTAGTACCTGCTAGACTCAAAAAACTATGGTACAGCGTGCTGAGAAAATGGGACGAGGATTTTTTGCTTCATTTACATTTGTACGTACACTTTTTGTACTTAAAATACTAAACGTGATGAGAAATAGATCGTTTCATCAATTCTTCATCCCTAGATAACAAAAATACACAATACGAAAGAGTAAAACCGTCAGAGTATACTAGAAATTAAAATCCCCTCACTAGCAGTCTTATTTTGTAGCCAAAAAAAAACTTGAATTGAGTTGTACCGTCTGTAATGTAAAAAAACGTTTCATTTTCTATAGATCAAAAGTCAGAGGTGGAAAGTTCAGGTCCAGAAAATAAAATTACAGACAAGATTTTGTTTCAATCAACCAGTTGAACATAAAGAGTCACAGTCACAGAGTATTCAGCTGTTTGGCTGAAATTAAACCTGGATTTTGTACTTTTTAGACCTGAACTTTCCACCTCTGTCAAAAAAGTATGATAATGTAACTGGTTCTTCAGTTAGTTTTAGTGTCTAATTAACTTGACCAGTTGAGGAATTGATTTTATATCATTCAGGCCTTCTTGCTTTATTACCTCTAACAACACAATTCGTTTGTCTTCCATGCGTATCGTTGCTTTTATGAAGGTGTAGACATGTTTTTGCACAATGTAAAAATTGGCATGACCTTCAGTTTATTAGATAATAGTGCTCAGATTCAGCTGTAAAGCCTAAAACACTTCTATAGATTTTTCCTCATATCAAAAGTGGTCATTTAGGTATACACGGAGTGTATTTACTACACGCAGTGGTGTATTTACTACAACCAAGAGCCCATTAGTGAATTTTATAGGAAATGTCCCTTGTATCAGAATGTTTTTGCTTCCCTTCGGTGTATGAGCTGAGAGTTCTAAAATGAATTGAGTAGAATGAGGAAGACTTTATAGAGGAGAAAACAATTATAATTGGGACAGTTTCCTCTCCCTGTGAAGTTCCGCACCCCCCCCACCAACTGCAGCATAAACAAGGCGATTGGCTTGGCTTGGCTTGGTAATGGATGTTCGGCACTGGATGTATACCGTATGCTCAGTTTCTCAGACTTGCAACATTCGATGTACACGTCTTTAATTTATTTGTTCCTTGATAAGAGGCTGCATACATGTGAAAATACCTGAATAAAAGGCACAAATAAATCTTCGGTTGCTGACTGCAGTTGCCTTGAGTGGGTGTTAGGGTGGAAGTATTTGTTGATAAAACCTGACCTCTCACAGAGGCCCCAAGACACCAATAAAGAAAAAAAATCACATTACCATTCATGTTTTCAGAATGTGATTGTGAATCCTGTGAAAAAGAAAACATATAAACACAAATACATCAAAATAGCTTTGTATGCCTTCTGTGAAATATCATAGCACATAATATAGTATCATTAATTTTTCATTATATGACCCAAAATGAACTGGATATTTTTGTGTGTGTACCTCTTGCACTCTTGAAACGAAGGTGCTTCACAGTACTGTATACCATCTGCATGCTGCTAGTGATGGTCTTTACATCTGGCTTCCCGTTAGTGTGCAATAACAGATCCTACTGTGCTGGCAACCTTCATGACGGAGTTTGCCAGACTGATCTGTTTTTCACTGTCGGCTTAGTTCAGGCATAATATAAAAGGCATATATTTGTTTACAAGACATTCAACATTTGTTGTTGTATGTTTTTTTTTTTTACTTGCGTTACTTCTATTTTATTTATTTGCTTGTTCATTTTTCTTATGATTTCTGTTTGTTTCTTACTTTTTGATATACTGATTTTCTCATGTTGCTCTTATCGATTTTGTGACCTTTTGACTGAGTTTGGAGTATAGAATTAGATCATGATTTAGATTAGTTTTTTTTTTGGTTACCAATACTTTTTGACCTACTGGAAACTTCAGGACTATGAGTATTTTACAGTCATTTTGGAAATAGACCTGTGTTTCCACAAGTGGATAAACAATGTTTCAGTGAATTTTGTTCCCCTGCCAATTGCCGTCATTCCCTTGAATCTTTTTTAATATACTGATTTATCCTGTATTCATTTTTCGTTTACTGGGATTCATTTTGCTCAACTCTAATTCAGCTGATCAATCTCATTGTTTTTTTCATATCTGGCTAGCCCTCCAACAAATCCTGAAGAAAGAAACTTTTCTAAATTAACCTATTCATTGTTGCCAAGTCTCTTGCGATATTATTTTAATCGCCATCTCACTGTGCTCGCAGGATAAGGAGTGAATCTTTTATAAATTAATTAATTTTAAAAAATTAAGTCCTATTATTCACTCTTGTTAAAATGATGGAGAATAGATACCTTGTTCATCATTCCCAGAAGGACTACAGCTGTCCATTCTAAGATGAATTCCTATGTGGTTCTATAATTATATGTGATTATAAGATGAATCACATCCGTTATCATTCCTTCACAAGCCTAGTACATCCAGAGCTTTACACTTTGTTTCAGATTTTCACTAACCTGTCACAGATGGAAGAGCTCACTAAGCAGACATAATATTTTGTTATGTTTTTAGCTCCTCTTATGATTTGGTGACTCATTGGGTGGTGCTGTTGCTTCATACCTCCAGAGTATTTGAAGTCTTACCCCTGTGTGTGGAGTTACCATACTCTGCCCCTGTAGTAAAGGTTCACTCTGGAATAGAGTTGGGTGAACTGGTGTCCCTAAATTGCCTGTTGTGTGTACAGTATGTGTGCCCTGCGATGGGCAAAGACACCATCCTGGGTCTTCCCCTTCGTGGAATTAATTACTTTCCTTTTATTTTTTCCACACATATTTGGTTGCTTTCACATTGACTCCTCAAGACCATCTAGGAGGTACGTGGAATCTGTCACATAACAACAGGAAGTGACAGCATGTTGTAAAGCAGGGCTGCTCGACTCCAGTCCTGGGGGGGCGCAGCCCTGTGTAGCTTAGTTCTTTCCCTGTTCCACCATAAATGATTCAGCCCCAGAGCTGTGTGGTAATTAGCACAAGGAGTTGAATCCGGTGTGATAAATGAGGGGAAACCCAAAAATGTGCAGGGCTCCGGCCCCCCAGGACTGGAGTTGGTCATCCCTGTTGTAAAGGGTCAGATAACAGGCACTGACACTCACAACACGCAAATGTCTCAAGTCAGTTATCTTTGCCAAACAGTAAGTGAATCCTGTCAGCAAGCTACATTTATTCAGTTGCAGCAACAGGATTTGTTCTTTGGATGAGCAAGCAGGTGTCCCAAGTAAACTGTCTAATGAGTGTATATTTCAATAGATTCTACATTTATATTATTTATATAAATTGCTCCACTATTTTTAAATTTACTGTTTATATATATTTAGAGTATATTTAGTCTTGTAATTCATTTACCATCACAGCAGCAGGAGAATAGAAGGATACACGAGTTTTTACACATGTCCAGAATTCCAGTCAGATAGGTTTTTATAGCTGCAGTTTAGTTTTAGATGCTGGAAGAGTTTCAGAGAGAATTCCGCCCTTTGTAGGGCTGCCAAGGTCAGATGCCATTGCTCTCCTCCTTACGTATGCAATCTGGTCCTCATTCCTCAAACGCCACATCTGGGCTTTCATACGAGGGGCAGACGTCACAAAATATTCTAGCATCACACTTTACAAGTTTAATTTTATTTACTGAGCATATCAATGTACATTTGTTATATTTTTTCCTTTAGTGGCGTCATTATGAAGATCTTGTTTATTGTTAGTTTATTGTAGTAGATAAGCAATTCAACCAGGACACAGTACCCTGTCAGATTAATTAAGATATGTGTTTAAGCTGGATTTCAAAGAAGAAACTAGCTGGTTACTATTAATTTCCAGATTCATTGTGAATTGGCATAGAATATTTCACTTCATGAAATGCTGGTGGATGGTTACATTTTGAAATCTGTCTATTTTCATTTTATTTTTCTTACTCTGTATACTAAACAAAAGCCCCATTGAAAAAATACTCGTTCTAATTTAAAATTAACCAAAGATAAGGCACTAAAATATAGAAATGTCCACCCACAGGCTAATCCATTCCAGAACTCTCCATCTCCAGTTGTCGCCATAAAAGGTCTGAGAAAGGTCTTCATATCACCTTCTTGTCCTGACTGCTCTGCATCCCTATGTCTGAGTTTGTCTGTGTCTGACTTGTTGCTGCAGAGGCTTGATGGGCCGCTTGCCAAACTTCTCCATGATCTCCTTGATCCGCGACAGGTTGGTACGGCTGAGGACAAAGTCGCAGCGGGTGGCGCCCATGTCATAGCCCACCTCGCAGACTTTGCTGGCGGGATTGTACCCCTGGGCCTTCACCGTCACCCTGTACTCCCCGGGGTTTAAAAGCCGCCAATAGTCACCATCTGCCGCTAAAACCAATGGAAGGAAACCTGTCGTTTGTGTCGTGATGATGACAAGAAACAAATCAAATAATAAATCTGTTGTATTTAGTCTTCACTTGACTGTAATAACTGTAGAAAAATGACATTAAATTTACTTATATAAATACTGTATTTACCACAAAAGAATGACAAACACTGCAGTATAGAGGCTGGCATGGTGCAGCTGTGGTTAGCACTGTTACCTCTGGAGTCCAGTCCTGAGTCTCTGCCATGACTCCATGTGTGTAGAGTTTGCATGTTCTCCCCGTGACCTCGTGGGGTTTCCTCCCCCCCCCCCCATAATCCAAAAACTTGCTAATGTGAAATGGATTAGTCACATTGTCCCTAGGTGTGAAAGTGTGAGTGTATGGTGTGTGTGTCCTGCCATGGGTTGGCACCCCATCCTGGGTCATTCCCTGCCCTGCCATGGGTTGGCACCCCATCCTGGGTCATTCCCTGCCCTGCCATGGGTTGGCACCCCATCCTGGGTCATTCCCTGCCCTGCCATGGGTTGGCACCCCATCCTGGGTCATTCCCTGCCCTGCCATGGGTTGGCACGCCATCCTAGGTTATTCCCTGCCTTGTGCCCAGTGCGTCTGTGAGAGGCTCTGGACCCTGCATAGGACAAGCAAGCATGTAAAATGGGTGGATGGATGGATGGATGGATGGATGGATGGATGGATGGATGGATGGACGGACGGAGATTCAGATAATTCCATATTATAAAATTAAAGCTTTATAAACTTAAAGGATGTTGCTAAGGAACAGCATATATCAGTGTCACAAGTGGATGACAAAACTGACAGATGTATTTAACTAGACACTCAGAATATTTATACATTTCCCATTAAGATTGTCTAGTACAAATTGGCATTGAGCATGGAGCCCTTCCAAAGAGACACAGAGTACAAGGCAAGGGACAATCAAGATGAGGTCCCAGGCCTTCAGAGGGCATACAGTGGCGTGCAAAAGTTTGGGCACCCCTGGTCAAACTTTCTGTTATTGTGAACACTTAAGTGAGCAGAAGATGAACTTATCTCCAAAAGGCATAAAGTTAAAGATGAAACGTTCATTTCAACATTTTAAGCAAGATCAGTATACTACTTTTATTTTGTACAATTTTAGAGTGGAAAAAAGAGAAAGAGCAACATGCAAAAGTTTGGCCAGCCCAAGAGATTGGACTCTCAGACAAGTTTTACCAAAGTCTCAGACCTTAATTAGCTCATTAGGGCTATAGATTGTCACAGTCATCATTAGGAATGGCCAGACGACGCAAATTTCAAAGCTTTATAAATACTCTGGCTC